GAGGCAGGAGGATCACAGGTTCAAAGCCAGCCTCAGCAATGGCGAGGCACTTAGCAACTCAGTGAGGCCCTATCTCTAAATAAAATACAAAATAGGGCTGGGGATGTGGCTCAGTGGTCAAGTGCCCCTGAGTTCAATCCATGGTACAAAAAAAGCAAAAGAGTTAAATTAAAACATTGATGCTGTTGGGAGTGGTAGTGTAGCGAATACTTGATTTTATAATGAAATGAAAAATGCATTGAAATTAAATACTAATTGAGAATTACCACTTTCCTCCATAATTTGGCCTTTCAGATACTTGTCCTTTGGCTATCTCTTCTTTGGGAAATACATGATTTCAGGGATAACCAAGGGTGCAGTAGCTGTGCTGCTAAGAATCTCAGTCTCATTGGGCAGGGAATGTGACTTTCGTTGTTAGAGGGCACAGCCTTTTGCTGGACAGTTAGAATAAATGTAATAAAAGGATGTGAAAGTGGGTTTTTGTGGAGCTTTGAGAGAGGAGGTCAGTCTTGCAGTTGTATTTTGAGATGGAGCAAGATCTAAAGAGAGAGAAAGTTCCAAGGAGGATGCTGGGAAAAAACTTGTCTGTTCACAAAGCAGGAATAAAGTGGAGGTTGGAAGAGATCATTGCAACTCATTAGCACGACTAATTGAAAATTCCGCACGTAGAGTTACTGCTGAGTGAGGGAAGTACAAATCTCTCTCTCCTAGGCATTTGGAGCTTGTGAGATGGCCAGAGAATTCCTCTCCTACTGAAAGGTTTAATGTATCTAGCCCTTTTCAGTTTGGGGCTTTTTTGTTGCTGTCCACACACCCCCACCGCCCCCTTTTTTTCCCTTCCTTTTTCTCTGTTAACTTTGCTTTTGATGCTAATGGGGAGAGTAGGGAAAGGAGTGGTGGGTTGAGTTCCCTTAATCCATCCCTGTCATAGATATTTTTAGTGACAGACTAACTGCTTGACCCTATGTTTTATTTTCTTTTGGATGTCCAAATATATACCCCAGTCCTCACAGACATATAGGATCAGTTGGAAGTGTCTGGCATATGATTATCTATCCCTTGTTCCTGGAGCAGGGGCTGAGACCCTGCCATATATCCTTTGCACCCCTCCTGCCTTTGAAGTTTAATTAATAATAATAGGAGGGGCTAGAGTTATGGCTCACTGGTTGAGCACTTCCCTGGTATGTGTGAGGCCTGGATTTGATCTTCAGCACCACATATAAATAAATAAATAAAAGATCCATTAACAACTAAAAAATATTTTTAAAAAATAATAATAATAATAGGGAAGAGGTAATATGCAGGTTAAGTATAATAACCGAAATTAGTGGATAAGGAGGCAGATCTGAGAACATTGTCAAAGTAGCTGAAAGAAAAGCTTAAAGAGAGAAGTTAAATGATAGGATGGGATAAGGTCACACACATTCTCATTCTCTCTCTCTCTCTCTTACACACACACACACACCTATAAAGAAGAGAAAGGAAAAAGGGGTGAAGCATATTCAAAGAGATAATAATTGAGAATTTTCCAGACTTTCAAAAAGATAAATACTTAGAACTTTGGTTAAAAAGCTCAATAGGTTCATTATATATAAATAAAACTAGATGCACGGTGGAGAGGTTACAGTAGAGAAACGGAGTCATCAGAGAGTAAACATAACCTACAACTAAGGACATTTATACTAACAACTGTGGTAGAAACCAGAATAAGCATTAAACAATATCTTGAAAATGCTGAAAGAAAATAAACCAGCCTAGAATTCTGCATCCATATTAACTATCATTCAAGAATGAGAATGAAATAAACTTTTCATATGACTAGGATTCTTCTACTAATGGATGTTCACTGATAGGATTTTGAGAAATAGATTTCATTTCAAAAAAAGAAAGCTGAACTTAGAGAAAAGAAGTAGGAATAAAATGGAATGGTGAGCAAAGATATATGGTAAATATAAGTAAGCATTTAATGTTTAATTGATAATTATAAAAAGTGATTACTTAAGGAATAATGAGGTAGTATTAAAATATTAGGGGGAATGTATAATATGAGGGTGGGGCAATTGGAATAGCTATTTTTTGTGATATCCAAATTATACCTCAGTAAAATTGTTTAATATGTGTTACTTGGGGGAAAATGTTCAATAAAAGAATATGCTGTCTTTATATTATTCCAAGTAACATACTTTAAGTTAAAACTCTTAATAATATTCTGATAGGGTTTGTTTTTATTTCATCGAGACAATGGTGTCTCAATGAAACAAGCCCAAACTGATCTTGAACTCCTGAAGCAATTCTCCCACTTTGGCTTTCCTAATAACTGGGACTATAGGCACACACCACTGTACCCAGCATATTCCAGTGGTTTTAATTGACTTACACTGTAATTTCCATATTTTAAAAGTTAACTCTCCCTCATGGGAAAATAGCCAAGATAATTTCAAAGATTATATTGGAGAGGATACAGCAGAAATTGTCTTACTAGGGCTACAGTATTTTAAAGCTCGGAACAGACAGACCATTGAAATAGAATGTAGAGTCCAGAAATAAAACTGTACTTAATTTGGGAAACTGGTGGTGGCCAGGAGACGAAGAATTGTTCATTGGGTCAGGGTCGGGGGATTGGTTGATGATATAGAAAAAGTAACAACCAATCCCTCTTTTACCTAGTGAAATAGATTCCTCAACAAGTAGATCCCCCAAATATGGCAAACAAAACGAACTGATATTTTAAAAAGGAAAAGAAGAAAAATCATGGCCTCAATGTTTAGAACTGATGACACAACCCACCTCCCACATAGTAAAAGATGTTTTAATGTAACTTTAATTCAGTCTGTCTGCAAGTCAAAAGACATCAATAAGCAAGGTGAAAATACAAACCACAAATTGAGAAAAGATATTTGTAATTCATAAAACCAATAAAAGATTGGTGTCAGAATAAATGAAGAACTTTTACAAATCAGATAAAGAAACTTGAAATTTGTCTTCTGTGGGCAGCTCACAGAAGAGGAATCCTAAGTAGTTTGGAAAGAAAACAAGATTGCTCAATAATGACAGCAGGATATAATTTTACACTCATCAGATTGACAAAAAAGTTAATCCCTAATACTATCAAGTTGTTGAGTATTCCATACCAGAAGTATGTTTTAGTCCATTCAGGCTGCTGTAATAAAATACTTTGGATAGGGTCAATTTGTAAATAATGGAAGTCTATTTCTTACATTCTGGAGCCTAAGAAGTTCACGATCAAGGCACCAGCCTGTTCAGTGTGTCTCTGCTTTTGGATGCTGCCTTTTGCTGCACTCTCTCATGGCAAAAGGAGCTATGGGATTAACTGGCTCCCTTAAGGGCTCTTGATGAGGTCACTAAGCCCCTCCTATCATCTTTGGGGTTAGCATTTCAATATGAACCATTCAGACAGCAGAAATATAGGATTACAAAGGAAACTGTATTAAAAGTTATCAAAGTTTTTAAAAAGTTATGACACAGCAGTCATTTAATGCATGGTGAGATCCAGTAGTAAGTCTAATAACTATCATTTCAAATTAATGGTTTTTGAACAAATTAATGCATGATTTTTGAACAATCTGTAACCATTTGTTATGTGACATGAAAATATCTAGGTCTGTTTGACAAAATTCACAGGTCATGCTGAATGTCATTAGTTGTTTACATTTGTAATTACAGGGTATGTTAAATTTTAATTCAAGATTAAAAAATAAAGATTTATTTTCATACAAGTTTATGAGCCTACTTTAAATGAATCTGTGGACTACACATTAAGAAATACTATTGTAAGACCTGGGGTTGTAGCTCAGTAGTAGAGCACTTGCCTAGCTTGTGCGAGGCCCTGGGTTTGATCCTCAGTACTGCATAAAGATAAGTAAAATAAAGGTATTGTGTCTATCTACAGCTGAAAAAGAAAAGAAAGAAACATATTCTATGGACAGTTATATATACATGCTCAAGAAAATTAATGTTGCAACATTGTTGCAGTATTAGCAACAAATAAGATTCCTCAGTGATTACACAAATTATGATATATTCAGGTGTTTCATATGATATATAAAACCCCAGATGGCTTAATTCAGGATAGTGGTAATACAAGGGTAAAGAGTAGGAATAAGGAGGGCAAGCTACTCACAGAGGGGTCTTTAAGCTAAATCTATAATGTTGGATTATTTAACAATACAACAGACATTATTTTATGTATGCTAAGACAGAGTTTCAATTTTAATTCTCAGAACAATTTAGTTTGTCAAGGGACAAATAAATTAAATGTGATTTTCTCCTACTTTATCTAAGAAATTATTCCTGTGAAGTATCAGGTACTTTAAACATCTGATGAAAGCATACCTGTGAGTTTCCGTAAGTTTCACAATAATTCTGTGAGTGATGTTATATATTCATAAAGAAAATTCTAATTAATGCAAAGATAGAACTGTAATTTTTATTTGAATCTGTCTCTAAAACCTACACCCCTCCATGTCATTAAATTGATTGTCTCTAGCAATTGACAACCAATTTTGAAAATTAAAAGTTAACTGTACCTTATAAGATGAGATTGTGTCCGAGGCACAAATTAACAGTAGAGACACTAAAATAATCTCAAGCATGACTTTATAATCCAAAATTTTCTTAAGCACACCTTAACCTGATTGAACCTAGAGGCACTTAACCAGTGAGCCACTTTCCCAACCCTTCTTTGTATTTTCATTTAGAAACAGGGTCTAAGTTGCTGAGGGCATTGCTAAATTGTTGAGGCTGCCTGATTCTCCTGCCTCAGCCTACTATGAGGCCGGTGGCTTTATAGGCCTGCATCGCCCTGCCCAGTTGTTCTCTTACTGTTAAGACAGACTAATAACTGTTATTAGTAATATTAGTGTTTCTGTTTTATTTTAATGCTGTTGATCAAGATTTAGTACATACTTAGCATTTAACTCTGTGACATGTGTTTGTTTTATCATTTTAAACTACATTCTGTTTTGTTTTTTGATTTTTAGGATCGAAAGTTAACAAAATCTGAAAGGCAGAGATTTAAAGAAGAGGCTGAAATGTTAAAGGGTCTTCAGCATCCCAATATTGTTCGATTCTATGATTCCTGGGAATCCACAGTAAAAGGAAAGAAGTGCATTGTTTTGGTGACTGAGCTTATGACATCTGGAACACTTAAAACGTAAGTCCATCAGTGTTATAAAAGTTGACCAAGAAGTGTGAGAGGATTTGATTTTTCTTATTTTAGTCCTTATATTAAGGAAGGAACAATCCTTTCAAACATTATTATACTTGCATATTTTGTATCTACAGAGTTCTATGATATATAAAAGTGAATTGATAATTACTTATTGGTAACTATTGAAATGAGAAGTTATTGCAGAATAAACCTAGTTATTTTAAGTCATTGATGGTGTTTCTAAAACTAAGGTGCCAGAAATCAGATGTTAAGATAGCCCTCTAGTGGTTAAAATGAGAATGAAATTTATTGGAGAAGTGCCCTGCCCCCTACCTTTTGAGTACTGGGGATTGAACTCAGGGACACTCAACCACTGAGCCACATCCCCAGCCTTATTTTAATTTTAGTTAGAGACAGGGTCTCACTGAGTTGCTTAGCACCTCACTTTTGCTGAGGCTGGCTTTAACTTGTGATCCTCCTGTCTCAGCCTCCCAAGCCACTGGGATTACAGGCGTGCACCATGCCTGGCTACAAAGGCCCACATTTAAAAATCACTTTCATACTGTTTTTTTTTTTTTTTTCTTTTTTTTGCTACAGCTATGCAACTGTTATATCAGCTGAAAATTATACTATGCAATATCACTGAAGATTACTTTTAATTTGATGTCTGGTAGTGTCAGAAATTAAAGGCAGAATAGCTAGACCTGTCATCCCTCACAGGGAAACAGCATGCAAAATTCCCTGTTACCCATTGCAAATAACTTTAGGTAAGAGTTGGTCTCTTAATCTATTTGTACTGAGGATCATATTGTAAATTATGTGGTATTAGTTTGTTATAGAGAAACTGGATTTATATATATATACACACACACATATCTTGTATTACTTTTTAGTTAGTACTACTGAACTGATTAATTCCAGATCTTTTTTTTTTAATTGGACTTTATTTTGTTCATTTATTTATATGTGGTGCTGAGAATCGAACCCAGTGCCTCACACATGCCAGGCAAGCGTTCTACTACTGAGCCACAACCCCAGTTCCAATTCTAGATCTTTGAAACACAGTTTATATCATCTTTTATGGTTACTTGCATGTGGCCTTGAATACTCTAGATTAATATGTTGAAAAGCCAAACAGATTTTCTCCCCCTGAAAATTCTTAATATCTTCAATCAACTTCTCTGACTTTTGTTTTATGGCAACATCTTTTTCCTACTCATCCAGACTTCTTGTTAATCACATAACTCTTTCTTCCACTGGACTATATCACCTAACATTGGATCTAAAACTTGATAAATATTTGAATGAATTAAGAACAGTGGCTGGGTGCAGTGGCATACTCTTGTAATGCCAACAGCTCAGGAGGCTGAGGCAGGGGAATTGCAAGTTCAAAGCCAGCCTCAGCAAAAGTGAGGTGCTAAGCAACTCAGACCCTAACTCTAGATAAAATACAAAAAAGGGCTGGGAGGGTGGGGTGTCTCAATGGTCAAGTGCCCCTGAGTTTAATCTCTGGTACACACACACACACACACACACACACACACAAATAGTGGAGTAATTGTATGTATGTCTATATCTTGAGATTCTTTTCACTGATATAGATGCCTATTCAATGATAGAATATAAGGCATGCTTAAGAGTACCCAACAATGGTTTACTTGTTTAAAACACCATGTTGAGACACTTGGGGTAATGCATTGAGCTGAGCACCTGTGGAATGGATGACCTCCACCAATAAACTAAAATGTAAAATATAATATATATATGCTGTTTCAATACATACCCCAAGCTTCAAAAGGAAAGGGTAACCTCCAGATAAAAAGCAAAGAGAAGATAACTCAGAGCCAAATCAGAAGCTGATGTCTCAGCGGTCTATTGGGATTTCATACCAGACATTGATGCTTAAGGAGTTTTACTATGGTTTTAATGTCCATTTAAGGACAAAAAGTCTTAGAAATCAGTAGAGAAGGGAGCTGGAACTTAGCCTGTGTCAAAAACAAACAAACAAAAACTCTAAACTCACTAATACACAAAAAGGAGAACTCGGCCAGTGAAAACTACAAAGAATTTTGCCCCTTTGCCCAAGACTGGGGATAAGAGGGGAGTCTATGAAAAATAGAAATTTGTATTTTTTCCCCATTTGCCTCTCTGCATGCTACCAATATTTGAGTTATTATATATTCTACCACTTCATATGTAAATGGTTCTATGATATGCTTATAGTACCTGGCTGGTGCAGGAAACCCCAGCCAAGGAATGCATATCATATTGATCCAGAACACAAAAAACCTCCCAGGTTCATTTTCATAGTTCACTGGTCCCACCATCCATGGACAAAACAGTTTCCAAAGAAAATGATCTCACAATAAAAGTATAAATCACACCAATAAAGATGAACATACAGAATGATAGAGTAGCATTGCAGCAATTAAAGATACCATGGACAAGAATAAAAGTAATGATATAATAAGTATTTATATAAGGATGCCAGTGAAGATATATGAAAGTATATAAAGTATAAAAAGAAGGCATGGAAGCCATAAGGAGATAATAAAAAGAAGGCATAGAAGCCACATAAGGATTTCATTAAAGCGGGGGGAGGACAAACATAATTGAAAAAGATCAGAAGAACTTCTAAAATAAGAAAAAAATCATTAAAATTAAAAATTCAGGGTTTAGCAACAGTAAATTAGTAAACAGTAAAAAGAACAATAAATAAGAGTAACAGAAATCCGAATGCAACAGAAAGCAGAAAAAGAGAATGAGATGTGGATTGAAAATGCCTCTTAGGTTTAATTATCATTTTAAGGAATGAGAAAAAGCAATATTTGAGAAGGCAGTGATTTATATTGATGACTTCTAATCATGTTTTTGAGGATCATTATGTTATAGCATGTGTCAATACTTCATTTTCTTTTATGACTAATATTCCACTGCATAGAAATTCCTCATTTTGTCTATTCATTGGCTGATTCACACTGGGGATGTTTCTACCTTTGGCTGTTATGAATAGTGCTGCTATGGTATACATGCTATCAGCTCTTTGGAATATATGCCTAGGAGTGGAATTGCTGAGTCATATTGTGAATTCTAAGTTTTAACTTTTTTTTTTTTTTTTGCGCTGCTAGAAATTGAACCCTTGGCCTCATTCTCTACCACTGAGCTATACCCTGAGCCCTGGTTTAACTTTTTGAGAAACTACCAAACTTGGTTTTTGTTTTTAATGGCTGTCTTATTAGATCTCTTTATGGATTTGATTTGAATTTCCCTGATAATGTTGTTTCACTCTTTTTAGGCTTATTGGCCATTTTTATATCTTCAGAAAAATGTTTAATTCCTCTATCCACTTTTTTTAAAAAAATTTGTTAGTTGTAGATGGACAATACCTTTATTTATTTATCTTTATGTGGTGCTGAGACTCAAACTCACACATGCTAGGCGAGCGCTCTACCACTGAGCCACAACCCCAGCCCCCCACTTTTTAAAAAAAATATTTATTTGTGGGTGCTGAGGATCGAACCCAGTGCCTCACTCATGATAGGCAAATACTCTACTTTCTTTTTTTTCTTTTTCTTTTCTTGAGTAACCACCTTAGTGTTTGCCATTCTGATTCTACTAATTTACACTTCTACCAACAGTATATAAGGAGTCTCTCTTATTCACATACTTGCCTGCATTTGGTCTTTTGTCTTTTTGATAATAGCCACTCTAACTTGAGCAAAGTGATACCTCATTGTGGTTTTGATTTGTACTCCCCTACTGATTAACAATACTAAGGTGTTTTTGTTGGTTTGTTGGATATTGGGGATTGAACCTAAGGGCACTTGACCCCTGAACTACATTTCCAGTTCTTTTTATTTTTTATTTTGAGACAGTGTCTCACTAAATTGTTGAGGTTCTTGATAAGGCCCTGAGGCTGGCCTCAAACTTGTGATTCTCCTGTGTCAACCGCCTGCGTCACTGGAATTACAGGTGTGCACCACAGTGCCTGGCAATATTGAATATTTTTTCAAATAGCTGTTGACTATTTGTATGTCTTTTGAGAAATGCCTGAATAAGTTTATTGCTTTTTCGGGGGGTGAGGGGTGGTTACTGGGAATTGGACCCAGGACACCTTACCACTGGGCTACCCTCCCTGTTCTTTTTGTTTTTTATTGGAGACAGGTCCTTACTAAGTTACTTAGGGCATCACTAAGTTTCTGAGACTGGCCTTGAACTTGTGATACTCCTGCCTCAGCCTCCTGAATCTGTTAGGATCATAGGCGTGCGCTGCCCTGCCTGGCAATTCCCCCCCCTTTTTTTAAATTTGTCCTTTTTAGATATACATTACAGTAGAGTGTATTTTGACATACATACATGGAGTATGACTTATTCTAAATAAGATCTCATTCTTGCAGTTGTACATGATGTGGAGTTATACTAGTCGATATTCAAATATGAACATAGGAAGTTATGTCCAGTTCATTCTACTGTCTTTGATATTCTATTCCTCTTCTCTTCATTTCCCTTTGTCTTATCCACTGGCAGTTGCCTATATTTTAATCAGAATCTTTGCGCCGGGAGTGGGGGGGGGTTATTGTGTTAATTTCTCAAATAGTTGGAAATTAAACCCTTATCAGATCTATAGTTTGCAATATCTTTTCCCATTCTGTAGGTTTCCTATTTATTTTGTTGATTATTACCTTTGCTGTGCAAAAGCTTTTGTTTGATGTATCATCTGTGTTTTTCTTCTAGTGATTTCATGGTTTCAGGTCTTACATATAAGTCTTTAATCATTTTGAGTTTATTTATATGAGGTACTATGGATTGAACCCAGGACCTCACACATGGCAGGCAAGTGCTCTGCCACTAGGCCACAGCTCCAGCCCCCTTAATTTTATTCTTCTGTGTGTGGATATCCAATTTTCCCAGCAATTTTTACTTAAGACTGTACTTTCTCCAGTGCTTGTTCTTAGCACTTTGTCAAAAATAACTTGGCTATAGATGTGTGGGTTTTCTTTTAGGCTATTTCTCTTCCATTGTTCTGTGTGTCTATATTTATACCAGTAGCATGCTGTTTTGATGATTGTACCTTTATAATATGTTTTGAAGTCACGTAGTATAATGCCCCCTGCTTTGTTCTCTTTGCTCTAGATTGCTTTGGCTCTTCAGAGGGTGTGTGTGTGTTTACATAAAATTTTAGGATTTTTTTCCCTAGTTCTTTGAAAAATATCATTGATATTTTGATAGTGATGGTATAATATAGTGATTGCTTTGAGTATATGGACATTTTAACAAAATTGATATTTCCAATTCAAGAACAAGGGGTGTTTTTCCAATATTTTGTGTTGTCTCTTCAGTTTCTTTCATCAGTGCTTTGTAGTTTTCAGTGTGTAGTTTTGTTGTCACTTCTTTGGCTATATCAGATTTCAAGGCTTTGTTTTTGTAGTAATTGTAAGTGAAATTACGTTGTTGAATTTTTTTTCAGATAATTCAGTGTTTGTGTATAAAAATGCTGATTTTTTTTATATGTTGATTGTTTTCTGCAACTTTGCCAAATTCATTTATTAGTTTTAATGGTTTCTTTTAGAGTCTTTGGGGCTTTCTAGGTCTAAGATCATGCCATCTACAAATAATGACAATCTGACTTCTTCCTTTTCAATTTGGATACTCTTTTTCTTTCTTTGGTTTGGTTTCCATATCTGGGATTTCCCATACTAGGTTGAATAAAAGTGGAAGTGGGCATCCTTCTCTTATTGCAGGTCTTAGAAAGTTTTCAGCTCTTCCCCATTCAATATGATGTTAGGTGTGGACTTTTTATATGTAACCCTTATTAGGTTGAGGTATAATGCTTCTATTCCTAATTTGTTCAGAGTTCTTAAATATGAAGGGAAGTCAGTTTTATCAAATGCCTTTTCTATATCTACTGAGATGATCATATGGTTTTTGTCCTTCATTTTGTTGATGTGGTGTATCACGTTTATTGATTTGTGTATGTTGACATGTCCTTGAATCCCTGGGATGAATCCCAATTGAACATGATCTGTCTCGGTAAAGTGTATATGATTCAGCAGGAATTTGTCCATTTTGTCTATGTTATTAAATTTGTTGTGTGTTCCTAGTAGTCTTTTATGATCTTTGCGTTTTTTTAAAATATTTTTTTAGTTGTCAATGGACCTTTATTTATTTATATGCGGTGCTGAGAATCGAACCCAGGGCCTCACATATGCTAGGCAAGCATGCTACCACTGAGTCACACAACTCTAGCCCATGATCCTTTGTATTACTGTGTCAGTGTAATAACTCCTTTTTGTTCTGACTTTTGCTGTTGTTTAGTCTTTTTTTTTTTTTTAATCACTCTAGAGTTTATCAGTTTGGTTTATTTTTGTTTTTTGATTTCGATAGTACTGGGGATTGAACTCTGGACAGTCTACCACTAAATTATATCCTCAGCTCCTTTAATTTTAAAGACAGAGTCTCATTAAGTTGCTGGAGTTGCCCTCAAACTTTAGATCCTTTTTTCTTGCCTTCCTGAGTCAGTAGGATTATATGTGCACCAGCACACCCAACTGGTTTATATTTAAAAAACAAAACAATTTTTTATTAATCTTTAATTTTTTTGTCTTTATTCATTTATTTCTGTTCTTCATAGTTTCTTCTACTTGTTTTTGGTTTGGTTCTTGTTTTGTTTAGTTCCTTGAGGTATGTTGATAGGTTTTTAATTTGCGATCTTTCCGCATTTTTGATGTAGGCATTGAATTTATATAAATTTACCTCTTAGTACTGCTTTTGCTACATCCGATACATTTTGGTATGTTATGTCCATTTTCGTTTATTCAAGACATTTAAAATTTTCTTTTTAATTTCTACCTACTAATTGTTCAGAAGTAAGTTAGTTTCCATGTTTTTATATAGTTTCCAAAGTTCTTTTTTTTTTTTTTTTCTTTTTTCTTTTTGTTTTTGAGTTCTAGTTTTACTGCATTATGGTTGAAAGAAATACTCGGATTTTAATTTTTTTAAACAGTTGAAACTTTTTTGTGTGGCCTACTATATGATGTATCCTGGAGAATGTTCCATGCTATTTAAGAGAATATGTACTCTGGTCTTAAGGTGAAGTTTAACTTTGCTGTTTCTTTGATTTTTCTGCCTGTATGTTATGTCTATTGCTGAAAAGTTTGGTGTTAAATTTTTCTTCTATGTTGTTAAAGGTCCCCCCCCCTTTAGGTGTATTAATATGTGCTTTATGTTTAGATGCTATGATATTGGATGCATATGTATTTATAATATTTTAATGTATTTTTAATCTGTAAAATCTACCTTCTGTTAGTTTTTTTTTAGTTTAATTTAATTTTTTTTTTTTTTAGTTGTAGTTGGACACAATACCTTTATTTATTTGTTTGTTTGTTTGTTTGTTTGTTTAATGTGATACTGAGGATCGAACCCAGCACCTCACACATGCTAGGCGAGTGCTGTACCGCTGAGCCACAGCCCTTTTTGTCAGTATAATAACTCCTTGCAAATGAAATAGAATTTCAGTTTAGTTCCACTGGTAGCTTTTCAGGTGTTTTTCAAAAATTGAATTATTACTGTAGAGATTGCATTTATATTCTTAACTCTTCACAATTTAGTGTTCATACTGTACATTTTCATGTAAAATATAAAAAAATCTTTACACAATTCATTATTCTTATTCCTTTTGATTCTTGTTCTAATATATGTCTAAAAGTGTACCAATTGTTACATGTGGTTTTTGAGTATTTGAAATGTGGCTATTGAAACTGAGAAACAGAATTTTTTATTTTAGTTACTCTACATTTAAATGTAAATTGTCACATTTGGATAGTGGATACTTTCTTGAGCAGACTGTCCTGGCAGAGTTCTGGTGGACAACAATGTCTTTGATGCTGCGGATCCTAAACTGTCTTTTCTTATCTGGATTTTAGCTGACCTTATAGTCATACTGGGACCTTCTCTCCAGTGAAAAGGTATAGAAAGTAGGAATCTCAAGCATTGCTTTTCCTCATCCTTGATTGAATTCACCTCCAAATTGTGACTGAGTTTGATTGCTCTCCAACACCATCAAATCATTGTTTTGTATACTTTTTACTAGAATTTATGAATACATTTACAACAATTAGGAGCTGCATCATTACCAGAAGTAGAACTCTACCTCTTAGTCATTGTAATATGCAGAACTAACTTTAAGGAATTCATTTTTGTGTTTTGTTATTAAGATTTTCTTTCCAACTGCTAATTAAATATTTTGTTCTCTAAAATAGTTGGTTATTGCTAATGCTGATACAGCCAACTTGATCTCCTATTCGTTTACAAAAAAGTTAGTTACCTAATACTGTAGCTGTTCAGATGAAAAAGTACTTAGAAGAATTATTTTTCTGTTTTTTTTTAATAGAATTTTTATTTCAAACTCTTTAACCTTTCTAAAAGTATCGCTAATCAGGTTACTGAATCTTAATATTCTAAATTTGATATTCCCATCTCAAGTATGCTAGAATTTAATGGAATTCTTCAAAGCAACACTCATATCATTGATAACCTTTTTGGTGTACTTTCCTTTTCCAGGTACCTGAAAAGGTTTAAAGTGATGAAGATCAAAGTTCTAAGAAGCTGGTGCCGGCAGATCCTTAAAGGACTTCAGTTTCTTCACACTCGAACTCCACCTATTATTCACCGGGATCTTAAATGTGACAATATCTTTATCACTGGCCCTACAGGCTCAGTTAAGATTGGAGACCTTGGCCTGGCAACTCTGAAGCGAGCTTCTTTTGCCAAGAGTGTGATAGGTATGTTTCAAGTGTACCTTGGAGCCTGTCTAGCCTTCTGACATTACTTCTGTTTAGACACCTGACCCTGTCAGAACTTTTCTGACATGAAATAAACCTTCAGAAATTTATAGCTTGAACCTAGAAGGTGATAATTTCTACTTATGAGATGTGGGGTTCTGTATATTTATGCTTTTATAATTATTTTTAAGATTATTCGTGTTTTGTAAATTACATGGGGGGAAGTAAGGTGAACTTTTGTTGACAAAACCTCATGTATCAACCTTATTGAATCATTCTCTCGATACTTAATATTTTGTGTACTATTTATATAGTATGTTTAGTATATCACTTTCTTTGTTAATGAAATATAGTTTGACATAAAAAATGTACATTGGGTATGTATTTGAAAAGACCTGCCTTTTTAAAACTTTACTTAAATATATGAAAATATGACAGTTTATTCTGAAAAGTTGATTTTATATATTATTTTCTAACTTCCACTCTTCCAAAATTACAAGTATCCAAAATAGATTTTTCAACCTTAGAACTATGGACATTTGGGGCTGGAAAATTGTTGTAAGGAACTGTCTTGTGCATTTTAGGATTATTTATCAGCATCCTTCTGCTTTTTACCCACAAAATACCAGCAGTAACACCTTCTGTCCACCTACCCCTAGTTGTTATAATAAAAAATGTTTGCAGACATTGCTCTGTGGGGGAAAAAACTGTTCCTTCTTGAGGATAAATGATCTAAAGAATAAGGCTATCCTTTCAAACTTTTAATCACGTGTTAGTCATAACTGAAAAAAAAATGTTTTGAGCTCTCTGAAGCAATTATCATAATTTAACTTGAAACCTTCACAGACATTTTACTTCACGCCACACAAAAAGGGCATAATAGTGAAAAAGAAATTAACTGATTATTAAGTAGGTTCAATCCTAAGTATTAATAGGAAAGGCAAATTACTGATGTAATTTGCTCACAACAGTGTGCTCCTTGGAATGTTAGTAACTAGGATTTGAAATGTTATCTTTACATTTTCTTATAATAATTAACATGATGAATGGAAAAAAGTTATTTGAAGCTGATTTCCTTTTTGCCATCTGCACCAGAAATCCCTGGCCCAAGATAATTTTTATTTTCTTTGTTTTTACCTAATGGAAGACTTAATTATTCAAAAGCATTGCAAAACCTAGTCCTGTGGGATCACACACTCTTGCCCATAAACCAGTTTGTATTTGAGTTCTGTATTTGTGCATGCATATATTTGGGGTTTTTTTTTTTTTTTTCCTCTAGGATGTCCCTCACTCTATTTCCTGTATCTGCAGTATGTTTGTATACTGCAGGTTTAATGGTAAGTATGTGAAATAAAGGGCTCCAGTGAGTGACCTTTATAATCAATTGCATTTTATTTTATTATCTTTAAAATAATGTATTGAACATTGGTTTTTCACTGCAAGGCCTCCTTTAAAAGTGAAAATGATTAGGTGTAGTGTTAATGACATGAGACTTATCTGTAAATGTTCACTTTACAGTTACTGTACAGTAGGGGGCAGACAAATACTTAATCTTTTTTAATCCATCATATATAAGTAGAAGCCATTATATCTGCTTTGTTCCCTGCTAGTTTCTTACCACTTCCTTCCATTTATTTTCTATATGTTATATTAGTTTATCTCTTAGCCAAGACTGTGCTCTGACATTGAATTATAGGGATCCATTTTAAACCATACATAAATAATCAGTTATTGACCCTGTTAAGTTTCTTATAAAGGCCTTACAGTGGAAGATCTTCTATGAGATATTGGATGGAATAGACTGACTAAGAAGATGTCCTTCCTCTTTTTCCTCTCCCAATTTCTTCTCTCTCACAGGTCAACCCCAGTGCTTCTTCCCCTTGGTGAGTAACAACTGCGCCTTCTGCTTGCATTGAGTCTGAATCGTTCTTTTAATTTAAGGTACTCCAGAGTTCATGGCCCCTGAAATGTATGAGGAGAAATATGATGAGTCCGTTGATGTTTATGCTTTTGGGATGTGCATGCTTGAGATGGCTACATCTGAATATCCATACTCGGAATGCCAAAATGCTGCGCAGATCTACCGTCGAGTGACCAGTGTAAGTCTTTCTAACTGTTAAAGGTACCCAAGCTCCGTAACATTCAACCATGCCAAAGGGAACAGTAGTACAAAGTATACCAAATAAGATTTTGGGAGGGGGAAGTGTTGAGGTATGTGCAAGGCATGTGAGGGCAAAGATAAAAGAACTACCAATTTATTCTATTCCTCCTTGCATTCTCTTAAAACTTTATTATGAGACATACTTTTTTTTTTCAATTTTATTTTTTACTTTTAGGGGGACACAATATCTTTATTTTACATTTACATGGTGCTGAGGATCAAACCCAGTGCCTCATGCATGCTAGCTGTGCACTCTACCACTGAGCCACGACCCCAGCCCCCGACATACTTTATTTTTAAAACCATACTCTCATCACCTACTTTGCAATCCCGTATTAATTCATCTGAGCTCTCATTCCCTCCTACTGCATACATAGCTTAGTGCTTTGTCAGATTAATTTGTTCACAGATTTTTCTCTGAATGGCTTGATTCAGAGAAATGTTAATTTATTAAATTGTATGTTAATTTATTAAATTGCATATGACTACCCACAATAATTAAGGTATAAATTAATAGCTTACTATGGTTTAAATTATCCATGATAGTTCATGTATGCTGACAGATTATTTCTTTGAGCTATCCAGTTAAAACCTGAAATCTAGTTGTTTAGGGCTTATCATTTCATTTTACCAGTTATGTACTTCATCATCTCTAAAAAGATACAGTTCTCTTCTAACATACCCATATTATACCAGAGAAAATTAACACTAATTTCTGGATCGTATACCCTAAATGTATTCAGATATTTTTCCCATTGTTTCAGTGATATCTATTTAGAGTTCATCTTTAAAATAGGTTCCATCAAGGCTCACAGAAGATATTTTGTTGTGTTTTAGCCTGTTACCTTCATTTTCTGTATGCCATTAATTCACTGAAGAATTTAGATTAATTATTTTGAGGAATGTCATAATTCTGAATTTATCTGTTTGCTTCTTACAGTTTAACTTTTATTCTTTTCTCCATATTTCTGTAAAGAGAAGTTTGTCTTAAAATAGTCATGTCAATGATGTAAATCTAAGTTTTTTCCTTTTATTGGCACTTACTTGAGTATACAGTGTAGTTTTCTAGAAATTGCAGAAGTTGTCATAGATACATTTGTCTTCTATTAAAAAAAGAAAAGCAAAAAGCTTTTTTTCGTTTGGAAAATATTGGAGTTTAAAATTTTAAATGTTTTGTATTATAATATACTTTCACACAGTTTCTAAGTTTTAACTTCTAACATGGTAAATATCATTAGTTACAACATACAAAAACCTGCGGGATCCCCAATAATTTTACGAGTGCAAAGCATTAACAGAAGTTTTGAGAGCTACTATTCAAAAAGCCGTGACAAAATTTAGGCTAGACAAGAACAACTAAAAAGAGGAAAGATTTATTTTGGTTCAGTGTTTCAGGAGATTCTGTCCATGGTCAGCTGGCTCCAAAGCAGAAACATGGCAGAAGAGCATGGGGGAGGAAAGCTGCCCAGCTCACAGTAGCCAGAAACAGAGAGAAGAAGGGATCTGGAAAAGAAAAACCTTTCTAGGGCCTGCCCCTAGTAAACTGCTTCCTCCAACTAGTTTCTACCTCCCCGTAGTCTGTTCTGCTATTCATAGATTAACGAGTTGCTTGCTTCCTTACCTGATTGAGTGGTAGCTAGATAGATATACAGAAACATAAATACATGCTTAGAGATGGAATACAGGGTTACTTTACCATTAAGCTGCATCCCCAGCACTTTTTTTTTGGTACTGGGGATTGAACCCAGGGGCACTTACTTTACTACTGAGCTACATCCCCAGTCCTTTTTCAAAGGGACCAGGGGTGGGGAGGTGAGAAGTGCTGGGGAGTGGCATTGGCCAAATTATATTATTGTGTGCATATATGAATATTTAAAAACAAATCACGGGGCTGGAGTTGTGGCTCCAGAGGTAGAGCACTCGCTTGGTATGAGTGAGGCACTGGGTTCCATCCTCAGCACCACATAAAGTAAAATAAATACATTATGTTCACCTATAACTAAAAAACAAATATTAAAAAAGAAAAACAAATCACAGCATTATGTACAACTATAATGCACCCCTTCAAAAAAAAGAATCCCTCTAGCTCCCCCACCCCACCCCCCACCCTTGCCCCAGACAAAAGATGAAGACTAACAAAAGATGATATTAAGAATTTTATGCTAGACATTGTGACTCATGCCTATAATCCCAGCTACTGAAGAAGCTGAGGTGGGAGGATCACAAGTTCCTGGCCAGCCTGAGTTATTTAATAAGACCCTGTCTCAAAATTTTAAGAAGATAGGGGATATAGCATAGTGGTCTAAGGCCTTGGCTTCAACTAAAAAAAAAAAAAAGGAATTTAATTTATACTGGTTTTGATATAAGCAACCCGGAAGATTTTTTTGTTTTATTTGTTTTGTATTGGGGATTGAACCCAATGGCACTTAACCACAATACCAAAAAGAGATAGCAAGAAAGTTCAACCAGTTTAAGTGAAATAAAAATATAAATTCATAACATAAAATACTTCTGTGTAAGATAACACACAGTATGAAGTAAGTTAGATGTGAAATCAGATCTTGGCAATGAGAATAAATAAGGCTTGCATCTAGGAGGTATTCTAAATGAATAACTCAGGTAATTAAAGATGAATAACATATATATTCCCTGTCCTCAGGACACTAATATAGAAGATAAATGTGTAAACATAGTGAGTACTTTAATGAAGATAGTCACTAAGAACATTGGAAACAAAATGCTTAACTCTACTATGCATTAGAAAGGGAGAAATAGTCATAAGAGTAAGAAGCTATTCTAAAAATGACAGTAGTATGAATGCTGTAGTTTCAAACACCACCATAGTATACCTGAAGGAAAGGCAAATTGATCAAACAGAGTGAGGTGTTATCTTGTGATTAGAAGGGAAAGATACGAACCAATCATGATGTTACATTCCTGTAATCTCAGCTACTCAGGAGACTGAGTCAGGAGAATTACAAGTTGGAGACCAGCCTGAGCAACTTAGTGAGACCTTGTCTCTATTGAAAAGGGATTTGGGTTGTGGCACAGTTGTAGAGCACTTACCTAGCATGAGCAAGGTCCAGTACCATTAAAAAAAAAAAAAAAATCTATCACTAAGATTTCCCCTAATTTAAATCTTGTCTCCTGTCAGAGCAAAGGTTTAGGTATCACTAATTAGGAGGTAAACTTGTAACTCTCCATATATATTTTTTTGCTGTTATTGTGTTATTTTGTTTTAAATATGACCTTAGATTTTTGGAAGGAGAAAGCAAAAAACAAGTTGAAATTATGGCAGTGGGAGGCTGGGGTAACTAATTGATACAGGAATGTCTAGGTTTCAGTGAGATCTGGAGCCTGATGTAATGGACATGATAAAGGAAGGGGGTTTTTGTTGTTGTTTTTTTCTCTTTGAGATGAGGTCAGGTATTATGACGTTTTGGGGGGACAAAAAATTAGCTTTACCATCTGCCTATCCCCCGGTGTGATGGAACATGCCTGTAATCCCAGCAGCTCAGTAGGCTGGCACAAAGGGATCATGGGTTCAAAGCTAGCCTTAGCAACAGCGAGGCACTAAGCAACTCAGTGAGACCCTGTCTCTAAGTAAAATACAAAATAGGGCTGGGATGTGGCTCAGTGGTAGAGTGCCCCTGAGTTCAATCCCAATACCACCCACTCCAAAAATAAAATCTTAGCTTCACATCCCTGCTTCGCTTGTGTTGTCTTGAACAAGTCACCCAGTTTCCCTCTACTTTGTTTCTTTATCTGTTAAAAAAAGATACTCTTAACTCCCTTACAGATTGCTTACCTTATACTGCTACTGATAATAGTTCCTGGTTATTTTTTGTGAAATATGAGTAAAGTCATCTTCTAAGGTATAGACTTAAAAAAAAAAAATGTCCTTTAAGGATTAATAATAAAGTCTTAAAATAATGTTATGGATTTTGATCTACTCAGGAAATAATAATCATTGAGAAACAGCACCAAGCTCCAGAATTCCTCTTTAGTGTTGGTAAACACTGTTGTATAAATCATTCATTGTTTGTACTCATTTATGTGTATGTAAGGAGAAAAGACCAAGTTACCACTTATTTCTTAACAAGCTATAGTAGCTTATATACTTCCTTAGTTCTCAGAATTCTATATTCTCAGTTCTGTGTACTAAGGTTTGAAGAGTAGAATATAGTAAGCTATGTATACAGTTGAGTTAGGCTTCACAGGAGAAAAATTAATTTTATTACTATCCTTTCCGCTTGACAAAGTTCATTTAATTTTTTTTGTTTTGTTTTTGGTACTGGGGATTGAACCCAGGGGCACTTGACCATTGAGCCATATCCTCAGCCCCCTCTCCCTTTTGTTTTTTATTCAAAGTTAGGGTCTTGCTGAGTTGCTTAGGACCTTGCTAAGTTGCTGAGGCTGGCTTTGAACTTATGGTTCTCCTGCTTTAGCCTCTCAAGCCACTGGGATTACAGGTGTGCACCACTGCACCCAGCCTCATTTATTTTTTCTATGTGCTAATTTACAAACTAGGACCAAGAAATATACTGTGAACATTAGCTTATTTTAAAAATTGTGGTTTGCATGGAGCTTATATTCACATGTGTAAAAAAAGGTGATAATTGTTAAAATTATAATAAGGTTTATATTTGGAATTGAGATATTGGGTTTGTTTGGTACCAGGGATTGAACCAGAGGGGCTTAATCACTGAGCCACTTCCCCAGCCCCTTTTATATTTTTTTTAGAGACAGGGTCTCACTGAGTTGCTTAGGGCCTCACTATATTGCTAAGGCTGGCTTTCAACTCTGGATCCTCCTATCTTAGCCTCCCAAGTTGCTGGGATCACAAGCATGCGCAGCTGGCTGGGTTCATTCTTTTGACAGTGAATTCAGTTATTTGTGTACCCGAAATATGTGACTAAATACCAAATCTGAAATCTT